GTCCGTAAGTTTGAGCCGAATTTCACTTTATTTACAAAATGACCATTACCTATTCTTTCCCTTTTTCTTTCTCCCGACTCTCTCTCGATAACCATTCATCAAATCCCCCATCCTTCCCTTTTCTCACTCTGTAAGCTCATTTCCTGCAACCCTAGCACCGTTTCTCTCTCATTTCTCTCACATTCGAGAGACTTCTCTCTCCATTTCTCTCAACCTAGCCCTAGCGCTGCTCACCCCATTCCTCTTCATCATCTCAGTTAAATCCGTCGAACAATCACCGATACACCTCCACACGAACCCATATCGAATTTTCCTCCTGCCTACGATGTGTGGGAGCGGCCTGTCTTCAAATCGTGGTGAAACAAATTTTATCGAACTCAGGTAGATTTTATAATAGTTGTATTTGAGTTTTTATTTTCGATTTTTGTTACTTTGGACCAAACCCTAACCATTCTTTGAGAGAGACGGAAAATGGACGAGAGGGTTGACGTGTTTGAGGGAGAAGATCACCGGGAATTTTGGCTCGGGGGCTGATGGGTGTGGCTGTAGGTGATGCATCCGTCAGAGGGTCGTTGGGGGAGGAGAGGAGGGGGACAGAGGGACTGACAGGTTGGAGAGAGATGGGAGCTAGGGGTTTCGACTGGGTGGGAGAGAGATTTAGGGATTTTGTTGAATTTTTTAGACTGAGTGGGAGAGATATTTAGAGATTTTTTTTCCCACTTTTTGAGAGACGGATGGACAGGGAGAGAGAGAGAGAGAAAGAGCATGCCGTGCATTTTTTGGGGTTAACAGGTTACCCCACGGGGTTGGTGAGGAGAGGATGTCTGAGGGAGGTATGGGAGAGAGTGGGTTTTCATTTTTGTCCTCTGATTCAACAGGTAAAACACTGTTCAGAAATCATTGTTTATTGTTTGGTTTCCCATTTGCTTTGTTAAAACCGTGATTGACATTTTTTTGTTTCAATAAAATTGTAATGGATGTTTATAGGCTGTTTAGTTGGGCGTTTGGAAGATTGGTATGTTTAGTGCACTGTTTCGTACACTGTTAGAGTCAGGTTTGTGTCCTTATTACTTAGGGGGTTGCACTGTGCTCATTTCTGTGTTTCTTCACGCTTAGCTGCTGTTTTCTTCTCAACAAATCGAATTGAGGTTCCTTTTCTGCTTTACATCCTTTGAATATCCCTCTGTTGCTAGATTGTTTCTCCATGCTTTGTTGCTTCTGTATTTGTGTGATAAGGAAGTTAGAAGGTTGTTTTACTTATTGTTTTGCTCCTTTGTTGATGGATTTTTTTTTTGCAATTCTTGGTTGCTTATGTATTTCTGTGATAAAGTTTTAAACTTTATTCTTGACATGTATTGACATGTTTGTAGATCAAACACAAGTCTTGACAATTGGTTGTAGGAAGCCCTCATGCTCAAGGTAAACAATTTCATTTCTCTTTTTTTTTTAATTTTTGAATTACAAGAAAAGTTTGAATTTGAGGTTCGGATTCGAAGATTACTGCTTCTTATAGTTTTAATTTTATTTTCCAGTCCAAGAAAATGTAGAATTTGGAGATTTTCTGATTTGATTGCATCCCTCTTTTTCTTCAGTTAAAACCCTAGAGACGATTGCAAGCAAGGTGGACAGTGATGTGAGCGACAAAGGTGGGTAATTTCTGCAATTCTTTTTTTTAATAAAATTAGGAATTGTTGCTACTGAACTGAGTTGTGCGGATAAAGGAGAAATGGAGAATCCGGAGTTATGCCCAAAATGGATAGCTTTGCTGACTACGGAGAAAGCTTGCTTATCTACTATCTCTCTTGAAGGTCTGAGTCTGTGTTGAAGCTTATGATTTTCTGGTCATGATACATATTTTTATGCATTATTTAGTCAGGATGTCAAGCTTTTGGCCTGTACTTTCAGAAACCACTGGTGCAGTAAAGGAAGTCGGGGGGCAACTTTAAGGAAAAATTACGAGAGCTTGGAGGTCTTGATGCTGTATTTGAGGTGACCATGGATTGCCAATCCAATATGGAGGTGTGAACCTGTATGTTTGTTTGATCTCACTGTGTGTTTCATTAAATGTTAAAAGAATACCAAGGGACCGTAATGCTTTAAATAGTTATGAAAGATATTTACTTCACTATGCTACTTCAACAATAATTTCTTGGTTCACTCTGTAAATAATAAATTTCTGTGAAAAAATAATGCATGTGATGGTAAAGAACTGATAGGAGCATATTCATGCGACTTAATTAGCTTGTTCTCGTGCATTTTTGTTGTGTTTCCTTAGTTATTTTAGTGTTTAAAGTCACTTTTGTGTATTTTCAGATTATAAGGCCAAAGTGTGCAAGAAGATGCAAATTGGAGTCTTTTGGAGCAAAAGAGGAATGAATAAGTTGAAGACTTGAAGAAACGATGAATTCCTACTCCAACGATGAATTCCTACTCAAACGAGGATTCCTACTCCAACAAGGATTCCTACTTGAAGTAGGAAAGTTAACCCTAGGTTTCCCGTTTTGGTAACCTTTCCTAATCTAAACGTCCATATTTTCTAGCCACTTTGTAGGCCTTGTATGCACTTTAGTACACAAGACAAAGGCCCTAGCCCACTTTCCAACCTATGCCGTGGCCTTTCCCCTTCTCCCCTTCCCTTGCCGTGCAAGGGGGGGCATTTTTGTCCCATTTTATGCACCTAAACCCTAACCCTTCTTCTTGGCCGCACCTTGCCCTTTTATTTCTAAACTTAAACCTATTTCTCTCCTAAACTAAACCCTAGCCGCACCTATTAATCAATTCCCTTTTAAATTTCTGATTTAATTTCCTAATTTTGGGAGCCTTTGATTTAATTTTAATAAGCTAGGGTTTTATTTTCTATAACCCTATATAAACTAAATTTCAGCCGCACCCTAGTTCCTCTCCCTTTCATTATTTGATCCCACACATCTCTGCTGCAGCCACCATTCATCATTCCACCTTCCATCCGCAACTTCCATCCAATTCCAGCCACCATCTAACCTTGCCGCAGCACCACCATCCATTCCCCACTTCATTCCATACCTCCATACACCATCCACACCCCTTGCCGCAACCCTTGACCACCCTAAACCCATCTATAACCCAGAAAATCATCCAAAAACACCCCAAACCCTCTCTGCCGCAGCAAGGAGAAGAAGAAAGAGGAGCTTAAACGCGCAGAAATTCAAGTGGATTCGTTGGGCGTTCTAGGTGTAATCAATCTTTTGTTCTTTATGTTTAATTTCAATTTTATTTCTCTTTATGTGAACATGAGAGGCTAAATCCCTAGTTAGCTAGGGGGTGATTCGAAACCATGTTTATGCTTGCAATATGAATTGATTACCTTTGGTTGGAATTTCATGAGTTGTGGATTCAATTCGTTTAACTGTTTGATTGATAACTTATTTGTGTATGTTTATTGAGAGTGCACGCTTAGTTTTCATACATGAATATGACGCTAGAATATAAGTGAGTTTCACCTAATAGTTACAAACTTATATTCACAAGTAGTGGAGGTTGCTTATAAACAATCGCGTTAAATGAATTATTGGCACTAGTTTCATGCTCATCATAGTAACGAATGCCTCGTCAACACTTATAGTTTTCATGTTGCTTAATGATCTTTGATTGTATCTTTATTGTGCTTTTCACGTAAAGGACTTTTGGAGAATGTTTTGAATTGTGTATGCGTTGTCCCATCCAATTCATTAACTTAAGGAGAACTTGAAGGTTAATTTAAGCGGACCTAATTAACCCGGGGTGTTGAGTTTCATAATTCATCGAAAGAACAACTGAAAATCATCTTGTATGCAAGTGTGACATGTGTGGAGAAGAACCTTCTAGCTAGCACTCCATCCATATTTTCATCAAATTCATCTTTACAATCTGGTTTAATTACAATTTGTGCATTTTATTTAATTTCGTCAAAAGCTAAATCCCCCTTTACTTTAGTGTCCAATTTAGTTAGAAAGTGTTTTAGTTTGTGTTTCTAAGTGTTTTGATTCAAGTTATTACCCAAATTCGTCCAAATTAGTGAAAGTGCTCAAAACTGCCCAGAAAGTGTTTTTAAGGCAGTTTTGAGTGTTTTGTTGCTGTTTTGAGTCTTTTGGTTTGTTTTAGTGTTTTAAGTGTTTAGTTTTGCATTCTTTGAGTCTAGTTTAGTGTTTTAACCTTTGTTTTACGTTTTTGAGTCAGTTTTCAAGTGGTTTAGCAATCCCTCCTAATCCCAGGTTTAGAACGATCCCTACTTATACATATACTACAATTGTCAAAAGAGGGTTTTAATTTGTGTGTTAAGTTAATTTTCACATCAAGAACCAAAATGATGGTGTGCAGCCTTAGTTGTATCTAGATTCACAAGGTTCTTCTGTTCTGTAACCTATATATTTCTTCAGTTTATGAGCAACACTGACTACACTTTGGTTGTTTTATAGTAACAAATGGGCAGTTATCTATTTGCCTTTGGATAGCGTCATCTTCCTTATTGTTTGTTGTAGTTCCTGATTTTCTTCTTAGAGTAACATGAGTGGTTTTGCATGCTAACAATATCACTTTTCAGTCATTGATTTGTTTTCTTTACTTATTATGTGCACATCATACACATTGAGTGATGATAACCAAAATTTCTTAGACATAATATAACTTTTTCATTTATATACTTAACCTTTTTCATTTGAATCCTGGGGTCCATATGGTACTCAATTGTTATTGGGGAAATTGGCTTACTAAGCACCATAAATGAATATGCAGGGTTGGCTAAAAGATAGCTCACATTCTATTTGAGAAAATGAAAACGGCATGGTGCGGAGCCTGGTTCTGCTTTTGAAATGTTTGAAGATCATGGAAAATGCCATATTCCGAAGTAAAGAGAATCAGGTATTTAAATGTGGTTTAGCCCCCCTCTCTATCGCTCCCTCCTCAGTCTGCTGGTCTGCTTTCTCTCTCCCTCTCACGCTTTTCTTCTCCTTTTTTGACTTTACAATGAAGTGATTGAGCTTAAGGACAACATCCGAGTTTTCTGCAGATGTAGACCTTTAAATCAAACTGAAATTTCAAGCGGATCTGGTTTCGTTGTTGAATTCGAATCCTCCCTAGATAACGAGCTGCAGGTCATTTGTTATGATTCCTCGAAAAAGTAGTTCAAGTTTGACCATGTCTTTAGACCTGAGGACAACGAAGGTAGTTGAGAACGCATACCGATTTTGTAATTGCACTGTCTAATACTCCACAGTTGATTTTGTTACGATGGATAACAATGCTCAGTTTTTTTGTTGTTGATATTTTCAGCCTATGGTCTGATTGACGTTGGTGTGAGTGTGCTCGATAGCAACCAATTTTGGGTGAGAACCATCAAACTCTAATCCTAATTTTTTCCTCTTGAATTTAAGAGTGAAATTGGTGCATCTTTACCCTTTATGTTGTGAACCATGCAAATTAAGTGTTTTTGGAGGTATTGTTTGTATTTTCTCGGAAGTTCAGAAAGGGTGTTCCGTCGGTCTCAATGAGTGGATTGAGGGCAGTTTGCAGAGTGACAGAGGTGGGTGTAGGGTTTCTCTCCCCTTCCTCTTCTTCTTCTCCGTCAAAACCCTAATATGCCCAATCCAATTTATCCTATTTCTCAACACACCCACCTCCCCTCTCAAGTCTCTAGCTTTAGCCGGCCCGAACCCAACCAAACTAATGCAAACCTTAAATCGGCAGCCCACCTGAACCCTTTTTTTCTTAATTCTATTTGTTGCTGCTGGTTCCGATATTTCATTGTCCTATCTGTGTATATTATCAGTATTGCCACTTTTGTTTTTCTTATCAATATTTACGTCTTCATTGTTTTTTTCAATTTGTTTCTTTTACTTAGCATGGTTTCGACTTCTTGAGATTGTGAGTTTAATTAAGATTTTATCTATGATGTCAGAGTTTAAATTTGATAGTTTTTTGAACCGCAAGTGTCATTTAATGTGAATAAATTCTGTTAACAAGGATTTTGGTCTCTAAATTTTTCGTAGTGTAATTTTTATGGTATAATTTCTGCCATTGACTTTGTTTTTGTACTTCTTCCATTTGTATGTAAATTCAGTGAATTGGTGAATTTTCGGGTCTGTGAATTCAAATGAATGGTTAAAATTTACAGTGACGGAAAAAATTTATGAGTTTTAACAAAATTTTAAATTATTCTTATACATTTTATTGAGGGATATGAGGATCTGATCGATTTCTCTCTGCAGTGGGATTGAAAATCGGGACGTTGTGGTACTCTCTCTCTCTCTCTCCCTCCCTCCCCCCCTATGTGTATGAATTAAGTTCTGCAGTGCGTGTGCAGGTGGGTGCGTTCACTAACTAAGCTTTCAAGGGGAGCCCATCAATGGTTTGCCTACTGGGGGAATACGGAGACTACCAGTGTATGATTTGGTTATCTTTTATTTTTTTATTTAAATTTATTTATATATAATGTGTGTAAATTTATACTAAACAATTGTGATAAGCCAGCATGCCATACGACTTTGAAAGCATTGATTTTTTGTTTAGTTTGGATTTTTGCATTGTGAATGTTGAATTTTGTGTTTAATTTTATTTTTGATGTTCAGCTGTGTGGCAATGGATACATTCTTCAACAGGAGCGTGTTATTCTGGTTTGGTACTTTGCTAAGGAAGCGAGTTGCTCTATGTTAAGGGAGGATGGTGAGTTGAAATTCTCGGCCATTTTTAAGGTTATCAGATGCTATTCACTGTGATTTCCAAGGTTTCCCAAAATAACAGCATTCAAAACAATGGGGTGGTGTCACATCCTGGCCCAAGGCGGACCACTTCCCGGGCCCGCTCCACCACCATAGCACAATGTTGTCCGCTTTGGGCTTACCATTCCCTCACGGTTTTGTTTTTGGGAACTCACGAGCAACTTCCCAGTGGGTCACCCATCATGGGATTGCTCTAGCCCCCTTCTCACTTAACTTCGAAGTTCCTACGGAACCCGAAGCCAGTGAGCTCCCAAAAGACCTCGTGCTAGGTAGGGATAGGAATATACATATAAGGATCACTCCCCTGGATGATGTGGGATGTCACAATCCACCCCCCTTAGGGGCCCGACGTCCTCATCGGCACACACGCAGCCAGGGATAGGTTCTGATACCAAATTGTCACATCCTGGCCCGGGGCGGACAACTTCCCGGGCCCGCTCCACCACCGTAGCACGATATTGTCCGCTTTGGGCTTACCATTCCCTCACGGTTTTGGGATATTATCCCAGTGGATCACCCATCATGGGATTGCTCTAGCCCCCTTCTCGCTTAACTTCGGAGTTCCTACGGAACCCGAAGCCAGTGAGCTCCCAAAAGGCCTCGTGCTAGGTAGGGATAGGAATATACATATAAGGATCACTCCCCTGGATAATGTGGGATGTCACAGTTGATTTCGCTTTTCACAAATTTACATTGGTTGTCATCTTTAAATGTTGTACAATGCCTGAGTTCCAGACATTATCTCTGGCATTTTAGTGCGTTTTAGATAGGATGCAGTTATGGCTGAATAGCTATGTATTTTTTTGTCTTTCCTTTCTCTATTATTAGGTGCACAGTACAGGGTAGACAAGCTTAGTGGTTTTCCTAAATGACGAGAAATTTTGGAATTGAAAACATGATGGGATTTTAGGAACTACCCGTGGGCTGTAGTTTTCCCCATATGTAATTAGCAATTTCTTTGATCATGTTAGTTTGATAGTGTTTCGGTGCTCAAAAAATTTAAGGATTTAAAATATCATGGGTTAGGGGTTTTAAGAAATACCCAAGTTCTATAGTTTAGCGCCTTTGTTCTTATTAGGATTCTTCAACTTTGATTTGGATCAATTTTGTTGTAGATAAGGTTAGAATTCAAAAGGTTTATAAATCTTTGATTAATTGATCAAGTTTACGGTATAGATTATGTAAGAATTTGTCGCCAAGGGTTGAGAGAAGGGTGGTTTCACAGGAATTGAAGCTCTGGCTCTCGGTTGTGAGTTCCATAAATATTTGATTGTGCAAATATACAATGATTTGTATTGTATGTCGATGATCAAAATGCGATCATAATCAATATTTATATATAAATAAAAAACTGAAAGTTTTAGTTCCAGAGATGGAATAGGTATGAGTGGTAATTGAAATCTCTTCTGTTGTGTTTTTTCTGCAGGAGAAGCAAGAAACTACAATTGAAAAAGCCATGCGTAATAAGCGGAAATGTATCACCACTGTGAAAGGGCTGCACCTTTTTGGTGAGCTATCTGTTGTATTATATCCGTTGTCTTTCTATTTGGAGATTCTTATTTTAATCCTACCATAATAGGTAACTGCAATTTACTTTTGGATTTGATTCTTCACTGATGGGATGTTGTGGGGGCGTGTTTTGGGGAGATAGGGGAGGGGGTTGGTTGCAGAGAGAGGGTGAGGGCGGGTGCATGATTAGGGGGACAGAAAGAGAGTTGATTGGGTGCACGGTTTGAGGATGGGGTTGAGGGAACGAGTGTGTTGGCGGCAGAGAAAGGGTGGGGTTGAGGGATTGTATCTCTCCCTCTCTGTCACATATCTTCTTCTTGCATCTACCCTTTCCTTCCATTTGGGATTCTGTTGGGGGTTTTGTTTGTAGCCTGTGATTCTATGTGTGTTTGTTTAATGGGTTTTTTGTTTAAATTTTTTGGTTGTGATTTTGGGGATTTTTGTTTGTGGGTTCAGATTCAGCTTTAGGAGGTCGTGGTTTTTCAGATTTGGGACTTTTCTTTGCATTCTACGAAGCCCTCTGTATTTAAGGTGTGCAGTTTCAAAATTCCGGAGTTTTGATATAGAGTTTTGTTTGGTTTTTTTATTATATTCGACTTGAATTTGGTTTTTTGTTGTTTGATTTTATTGAAATCACAGTTCGGGTTTAGACTTTTGTTTGGGTTTGATTATAATTTTCTGTGCTGATTAAATTTGATAACTCCAAAATTGATTATTGGTTTGGTTTGATAGGTGAGGCAGATAGGAGAGAGGGAAATTGTGGTTTCAACACTCTCACTTCTGTTCTTGGAAGGTACTTCTTTATATAAGTTTCTATGTTAAATTCACTTTATTTCACTTTGAATCGTTCTCAAGGGACTGGTTTTGGGAACTTTGTGGTGCACGAGGAAGTTCTTCGGGTTATTCAAACGTTTGGTGGTTAACTTTCCTTTTGGAGATTCTAGAAAATAAGTTGTAGCCATGAATTTTCAGTTTCATTTAAAATGGTGTACGACATCCATAATTCTGTGTTAACTTTTTTGTTTATGGCTTGTAGGACGATATGATACAACACGACACGGCGATACAGAAAATCTGTAAAAATTAAGATACGAGATGTTACGGATACGGCAAATAAAATGTATATAGCAACAAAAATATACATTTTAAAACAAAATTCATCATTCAAATTCAAGTACATTTGAGTTGTTAGACAAGAAAAGTTCGAAATCTAATCCTCTTTATATAGTAGAAGTGTGAGAATTGTATTCATGGTTTTAATTAGAGGGAAGCTCTTTGTATTCAACAATCTTCAATTATAGATGTATCCTATTAATTTTCTCCTGCTCATTACCATTTTTGAAAGTGTAGATGTATCCTAAAATCCGGATACGTGTATCCTAAATGTAGGATACGCGTATTCATCATGTCAAATTCGTGTCCGTCAACCAGGATACGTGTCGGACGAGTATCCGAGAGTATCGGACAAGTATTGTATCCGATCAAGTATCATATACGCGATACAGGACCAAACAGAAGTATCCGTGCATCATAGGTTTATGGGTTAGGCACTTGTATGGTAATGCCTCTGTTCTATACCTCCTCCTCTTGACTTTTTTTTCTTTTTCTTCTTCTCTTTGTGCAACTTCCAAATATGGTGGAATCGGTGGAGCTTCCCACTCGCCTAGACATCTTTCCTTTCTGAAACAAGGCCCTTCTACCCTGCGCCATCTTCAAATTCACTGCACTTCACCCGATAGGTACCTTTGAGCCTTAAAATTTGTCTTTTGATTAATTGTTTTTTCTGTTTGAATCCCGAGAAAACTTTGTATGTACTTAGCTGTTTTAGCTCAGCACTAACTTTATAGCTCTGCAATTACTCTGCTTGCTCGGAAATTATGTTCCTTTTTATGCTCTTTGTTGCCCAAACTGTGTCGTTTATTTTTTGCTGCAAAAATTTTGCATATTTTGTTCTTCAATTTTGCCAGAGTTAATTTCAAATGCCAACCTTCCTTTTTCCTTTTCCTAGGTAATTGATCGTTATGTGGTTTGTAAGTTGGATTTTTCTAACTGGTGGATTATTGAATTGATAAAATTGGGGAATTTGATTAAGGTAGTGTCAAGTTGGTGGCGCATGAGTTATGGCAGCGGGAAGAGAAGGGGTTAATTGGTATTCTTCCCGTTCAAGATGCTGCCGAGTCAGCAACAGTGGGCTCTGTTGTCTCAAGGTGAGATGCCTATGATTAAGTGAAAGTGAATACTAACAGGTTTTTTGTTATTGTTGGGAATTTGCCTAATTTTAGGAATGGGAAGTGATTCTGGTGAACGAAGCTCTAGATTTCAAGTTTTTACTCATCTCTCATTTTTTTTAATTTTTTTATAGTTAGGTTGAAAATCATATCGATAGATTCTATATTTAGTTGGTCCAATCTGTAACAGATGAGATTGTTTTGTTTGATGTTTCAATCAAAATTTGATCTTTTTTTGTGTGTGCAATTATAATGGAATTGCAAGTCAAGTATATCTTACATTCTTGATTGCATACTCATCTTCCCACAATTATTATAGTGTCTCTTGACTGGATTATTTTTTATAATTTCCTAGATATATGGTTACAATGCTTTTTATAATTTCCTAGATCTATCATTTTTGTTCGTTCATGATTATGTTGAATGTTTTTCAGGTTAAATGTGTCTTATTCATGTAGTTAAGGCTGTTGCATTTAAGTCCCGTAGTATTGCGCGGGCATATTACTAGTAAGGACTAAAATGTAAGGCAGTTAAGGGTTAAGTTGTAAGGGGTTAAAAGTATTGGGTTCAATTGTAATGGGCCAATGGTAAATTAAAGGTCTCAGTAATTGTTAATAGATGTCCAGGTGGCACTCTTTTATTGGGGGAATGCAAGCATGTGGGTTATACATGTTCCTGAAATTGGTTGTAAACGAGACTTTTGAAAATTAATAGAATATTCTCTTGAACTCTCTCTCTGTCCTCTCGCCCATTCCTTGCCGCCATAGCTACCGGTTCTGGTTGATTCTCAAGTGTTGGTTGTGTGGTTATAATAAATTAGCCCCAGCAGCCAGTGCTGGCATGGCTGCATGGGTTCAAAAATTGTAGAAGTACAAACAGATAAAGATTAATTAACTAGTTAGGCAAACATACGTAAATATAACAGATTTTGGAGTATAACAGTTACATAACCGTGGCATAATTAAAATACTCAGACATTCATGTTATAGCAATATCTATTTAGTATAGGGCGTTTCGATCGAGATAATTATTTTATAGGAGTACCATTTATGATGTTCGGGTTATTCTACAAAGTTAATTATCCAGGCAATAGTCTTTTCCACACACAAGTCGTGAGGCAAATGGTGTGGCGGTACATATGGTAGCTTGTTTAATTTTGTATTACCTTGTGCGGGTTTATTGAATTGATTTGAGGTCAATGTTGTCTTATATTATTCAGGATTCTATTATAATTGATAATTGTAGTCGGAATCAGGCTTTATGTCCACACAATTGATTTTTTTTTTTTTTTTTAAATCATGAATAAATCCCTCTTATAACGTCGAGTTTCCTAAAAGGAGAACCTTAGGTCTATCAATTTTATCATATGTGCATACTATAATACGTCATATATTATATAAATCTCAACAAGTTGATAATCATTCTCCCGGGTGTTATGTTCACCCTAATAGTACAGCATTAACCAGAAATCTCCCATAATCTGTTGTGTTAATGATACAAAGCACAAAAAAAGTTGAAAGTTTGGACTGAAACGCACACTTTAAAGTGTAAACATAGGAGAACAAAAAAAGATGGATATATAATGAGCAGAGAGTATCCGGAAGAGAGAGATTCTTGTATAAAGACAGAGTGTCTTCCTATACTGATCATTATGTTATATTTCCCTTTTCCCTTTTCCCCTTTACACCAGAAGAATTCATGAGTGGAATGAGAGCCATAACATTAACATTCTGGTGTGATTGGTGAAAAGCTTAACCCTAATATAGAGAGAAAGGGAGGGAGAGAGGGAGGGAGAGAGAGAGAGAGAGAGAGAGAACATAGTTGGTAAGCAATCGGTGTTTGTATAAGCTCTGCCGACAAGAATTTCTGTCCCTCCCACTAACTGAACAATTAGAGAGGAGGCCCAAGGTGGTAATATATATGATAATACCATAATTCAGTCCACCTTTTTTTTTATTTCTACTCACTTCACTCAACCAAAAGTGAACCCCACTTGATTTGAATACTTGATTCACTGTGAGGTGGATCTGTGGGTAGATGATTTTAGAGAGAGAGAGAGAGAGAGAGAGAGAGAAGAGAAGAATTAAAAGGAGTTCAAATTTCAAACTGCTTTGGGGTTTTGAAATCATTTCAATTTATGTCTTCTATCCATTTGACCATATGATCCTCTATTAACTTGTTAATGTGGCATATGTAGGGCACATTTTCAGGATTCTAAGAAACCACACTTACACCATTACCACTGGCGGATTTAAAATTCTAACTTCTAAGGTTCCAATGTAAAATTCAAGTTTTTTTTAGATGAAAACAACACATACAACGCCCAACATCTTTTTAATCTTTTTAATGAGGCATTTTGTCAAACACTTTGGATGTCATTCATTGTCTGTCAAGCAAGGATGAGCGCCTACCAAATGTTGTCAAGAGGGCATGTTGAGTTCTTTCAAGTGTCCTTGTAGAGTTTTGTCGATAACCCATGCCTAGTGATGTCGATGCATTATGCCAAGTACTGGAAGAAATGCCCAACAGTCATTTTATCAAACACTAGGTGGGGACAAAAATGTTTCATACCATATATTCAAAGGATCCATGGAGGATCTTCATCAACATTTTTTCTGGCTTCCGGTGGGTCTCGACCACCTTGGTCCCTTTATGGATTTTCCCTTGACCATTGGCACCAAACTGTGATTAGTAATCCATGATGACAAGTTTTGGTTCATGTGGTGCAAGTGTGGCTTTCATACCAACTCATGAATAGATTCTACGTATGTCATTAACTTGGGAATTCTTTTGCTACTCATCTAATAGTAATAAATACGATGGTGAGCATTACTATCACACGAGGATGGTGAGCAAAAATGCACCACCATTAAATTAATAATAACCAAATAGTCATACATCCAGAAGGCATAAAATCAAAGGATGCCGATAAATACACCAATTTCCATGACCACTACATGTTAAAAATATAACTTTCAACTCAAAGAGTACCTTAAACAAGGACCACAAAAATGTGCCAAACTTGGTTAACTGGTTGTGGCATCATTCTCAGGCATCTTCTGTGCTGCTTCATGCCGACAGTCTTCTTTTACACTTGGCTTCTTTTTCAACACCTTTCCTTACAATCATGGGCAGCATCCACCCAATAACTACTCTGCAAGAACAACTTTCATTCATCAAGTTTTACAATGTTTAAAAGATAAGTTACCCTTAAAAAAACACATAGCTCTCTCTCTCTCTCTCTCTCTCTCTCTCATTTGATTCTTTTTCTTTTACAAAAAAAAAAAAGGACAACTAGTGGTAAGCCACAGTTATCCAACCCTTCTGGTTCCGGAGCGGGTATGGGGAATTTCACCATGTCCATAGCCACAGTCAAGTAGACTCTCCAACTCAGAGTATCAAACCCAGGACCTCCCACATTTTTTTGTTTATTGGGGAGCTGCAGTCCGCACCCAAATCATGGAAAACGAAAGCTCCCTGATCCAATCTCCATGGCCAAAGCCAAAGCTCGGAAAACGTCTTCCACTTCTCACTTCTCAGTTTTCTCATTTGTGATGTGGGAACTCCACTTTTTCAAACACAAAAACCAGAACCAAAAGGAAAGGGATTGTCCATACGGTATGTGCTTCTCCAGCTCTAAAGCTTTTCATGCTTCAGGTTTTTCCTTTTTACAAGGCTCTCCATCTGTTGAGTGTTGACCCCCACTCCACACATTGTGAAACTCTGGCTTGCCATTTACAAAAAACCCATCACTGCAATTTTGCAAAAGCTCCCTCGGCTTCCCCCTCTCTGCGAACAACACATCATTGCCGAAAATATCAGGTCAAAAATCCTTTCTTGGATCCTTTTTTGGAAAACTCTTCTTTTGTCATAGTCCAAATGGTTATGCTAACCACCAACCATTTTAGGGTGCCCTCTCCAGTCCAACGATATCTTTGTCAAATGCTTCTGCAGGGAGAGAGAGAGAGAGAGAGAGAGAGAGAGCATAAAATTATGTACAGCTGATTAGATAATTCCAAACACACAACTCCCCAGTGAATAAAGCTCAAGCAACAATAAAATTCAAGTCCTTGAGGAAACTAACAAAAAACAGTAAAATTCAACAGTAGAAATTGGACTGCAGTTTGTAACTTCTGGTGTAGGGATTTCTGGTAAATAGAGATATTCATAAGAAACAAGATCAATTACTCATTTTGTCGTCTTGGTATGAGGATGTCGAATGAGAACTGCACATAGGCAAATAAGGACTGCCCTCCACCTAGGCAAATAAGGACCGCAAGAGCTAGACTGTCAAGGAAAAAGATAAATTCTAAGCTTTCGGGTGAAACCCTTCTCAAGCTCTCTGATTACAGATCAAAGAAAAAGGGCTGAACATTTAAATCTAAAATTTCAATTGGACTCTGAGATGAACTTTTTCAGACAGAAAGTTGATTCTCTTTGAGTTTATATATCTTCATCAATAATGGCAACATGTAGAAGCTATTATAGCAATTGAATTATACCGTATTCAGAAAGAAGAGAAATCACAGAATTGCTTCCATCATTTTTTTTATTTTTATTTTTTTGTTTTGTTTCGTTTAAAGTTCTAACTCTAATTTAAAAGAAAAAATTGAGCGGAGATTTAATATTAAAACAAGGGAGAAATAATAAAACCTTCCCCGTTATAAACATATTATATATCTCAAAGTACTTGAGGTGCAAAATTTTACAACATTCTTCCTGTTCTTTTGGTGCAGCATCCTCTATCTTCACAAACAAGAAGAGTTTCTTTTGAGCAAGCCCAAAACTTCGAAATTATACTGGGGTAAAATTGGACACTGGCTCAAATCATGAGGCTGTGCAGTCCTAGAAATACAGATTCAATCCCTACAGTATCCCTATTTCCCTGACCTTGCATCCCTAAAATCTTTCTAGAGAGTAAGTAAACAGGTACAACATGAAACAAAAAAAAAAAAAAAAAAAGTGGAAAGAATTCAATATATCCTACAAATTTCAATTTCTACTTGAGGAAAAAATAATGTTACCCTGAGGATGCACCAACAAGAACTTCATTCAACACATCATCCTCACCTTTTGCTAAGGCAAGTAGCTCCGCATCCTTGTCTTCATCGCAGGAAAAATCCCGCCTTTCGAGCTTGGAATGAGCTGCAATGAATATCAATTTCTGTGCCTTGTCCATTCCCACCCTTGAGTGGCCATGGGCAGACACCCATCTCAATAGAGACCAATTGCATTTGAACCCACACGACGTTGCATGAAGGAAGATGAGCCTAACTGCAACTTTCCCTAGTGACTTAAACTCGGTG